TCATATATACTGAAAATTTAACTCAAAAAACTAAACTCTGGATTTAGCTAATGTACTTGATGTATAATGATTTTTTAACATTTTCCTCAGGAGTTTATGTCTCAATCTCTAGTTTGAAGTCATTTCATAAATAACTGTAAATTATTTAGAGTCTAATAGAAGATCCACAGGTTCAACGTGGTATTGTTCCTGTCGACGGCGTAATCCTGCAACAATGACGTCATTACTGTCAAGATGAGCTCACCATATAATGAACACTTTATAGTTAACACCATGCAGTGAAGTAGTGAATGAGTGAAGTAGTGAAGTAGTGGCTGATTCCACACACAGCAAAGGGGAGTCTGTGGGAGCAGGTTCCATGGTAACCTCCTTTGAGATGTTTTGGTAGAAGTTCAGACCTGTTCCTGAAATGTTCAGGAGGTTCTTCACGTGAGAACACAAGGTTTTCTGGAACTTTCCCTGCAGGTGTATGTCTCACTTCTCACCTCACCAGTGACCAGGTGTTTCCCATCATGAGAGAAGGCCACAGCACTGAAGGGTTTCCTGCAACACAAACACAAAGTCATGATGCCACTGATCATCTCACGGGGAGGGTCCACTGTTCTGTCTGTGCAGACAGACGAAGAGCCACAGGTGAGACATCTACCTGGACGTGTTGATGATGTGACTCTGTTTGTTCTTCTTTGGGTGAAGCAGCACGATGACACACCTGAGCCACACAACAGAACCACAGCAGGATGTCAGGAGGGTTGGTGCTGAAGCTGACAGAGTTCAAACATGCTGCCAAAACATCAGACGCAACTTTGCTCACAAGATACAGGTGTATCAGGGGGGCGGGGCTTACCCTGCAGGATAGGCGATGAGCCCAGAGTTGGGGTCAGAGGTCAGACCGCTGCTGCTGGCTGTGCTGATTCCCAGAACTTTCTCCAGATTCACCTGAAACAACACACATCAAACTGTAGTTCAAGAAAGAGCGCCTCACTGAGGACAGCTAACACACTACACACAAGGACACCTGAGTTTTCTCACTGGCGTAACCACAGCAACAGTGATGAGTTTCAAAGGTGGAGTAGATGTGATGATCTCTGGTGAGTCCTCCATGTCTCACACCTGAACTCAGGGTTTCGACAGGATGCTGGGATCAGGTCTGTGTGGGGACCAGATGTCCTCATCCCTCGTGTCTCTGGAGACTCTGACCTGTGACCTTCCACAGTGCATGAGCACGTTGTGGACAGGTGGTGATGTTGTTGGTCAGGAGGTCACGGTGTGACGTCAGGTCTGGTTTAATGACTGACCCCAGCTCTTAACCTTCAGGTCAAAACTTTATTGACAACGTCAGGTTGTGTTTTTCTTTGTGTGTTCTTGTGTTTAAATCAGGATTAAAATAAAGATTCAGAACATTATGTTGTTTCCTCTCATGTAGATATGCTTAGTTTATTCTCATACTTTACAACACTAAGTGTAAGTACAGTCAAACTAAGTAAAGTACTGTAAACTTCAGTCAAACTAAGTAGAAGTACTGTAAACTTCAGTCAAACCAAGTAGAAGTACTGTAAACTTCAGTCAAACTAAGTAGAAGTACTGTAAACTTCAGTCAAACTAAGTAAAGTACTGTAAACTTCAGTCAAACTAAGTAAAGTACTGTAAACTNGTAGAAGTACTGTAAACTTCAGTCAAACTAAGTAGAAGTACTGTAAACTTCAGTCAAACTAAGTAAAGTACTGTAAACTTCAGTCAAACTAAGTAGAAGTACTTCAGTCATAGTTTAACTGTGAATCAGCAGCGCAGCTAACGGACTGTGATGCTAACAGTTAGCAGCGTTAGCTCCGCTCGTACCCGGCTGCAGCAGCTCTTCTGCCGGCTCTGTCGGCTCTTCCTCCCCGCTGCTGGTCTCCTCTTCGCGGCGGTGACTGAGCCGCCCTCCGCTCCCTCCGCCATGACACTCGTCCAGGAAGCTGGAACGGCTCGGAAGCTGCCCGGGACAAAGGGCGCGCAGACACCGGGCTGCGGGTCCAGAAAAGGCCGCCGGAGTGAAGCGGGCTCGGGTCAGTTTGAACAAAGTCTCCGCAGCTGATGACGCTGGAGCGTTAGCTTAGCTTGATGCTAACTGATGAAACCTGACACCTGTTCCTGCGGCGGGACTCCGGTTCAAACTAAGCCCCGCCCACTGTGCGCACACACCTACTAATAGGCAGCCGAGGTTCCGCCCATCACCACAAAGAAACCAATGGACACACGACGAAGCCCAAGTCCCGCCCACTCTCTACCAACCAGCCAATCAACATCATTATTGTGACAACGTAAACCGATGAATATTAACGTAAAGGCTCAATCTATTAATTAATGTTTTACTTCTAATAAGGTCACGTTAACACGTTCTACTTTTTAATCTCTAATGGTTCTATTACTCTTATGTATTATTTCTAATATAGACACTTCCAGTGTTCCCTGATGTCTAGTGGTGAATTGTCATTGCAGCTGAATACTCTTCTCTTTCTACAACTTCTGTTTCTACTCACAGAAAAATGCTCTTTTTCTCTTGATGCATATTTATCTTTAATAGCTGAAGATAATTATTTTAGTTTAAGTCGTGGTTTGTGACATATTGAATGAAATATTTTCTGTCTAAACTGATTACGTTTAATTTCAGTGGAAAAACTTGATAAATATAAAAACATTAGAGCAGAAACACGACTAAGAGAAATTTTGTTTTATTACAAAGTTCTTTCAGGAAACTGAACACTCTGTCAACCAGTAGAAAATCATTTTAGAAATCATGTAAATGACACGCAAAAGATAGTGAAGAAGAGATTTCTGAGTCAGAGGATGTGACCAAACAGATTCAAATCTAAAGACAAACAAATGACAAAGTAAAATCAATTAAAACGTTAAAAGTGTATTTAAAGGTTCAGTGTGTAGAATTTAGTGACATCTAGTGGTGAAGTGTCATGTTACAGCTGAACACCCCCCCCCCCCCCCTCACATTCCAAACATGAAGAAGAACCTGTGGCAGCTTCAGTCGTCATAAAAACTCAAAAGGTGTTTAGTTTGTCCAGTCTGGACTAATGTAAAAAAACATGGAGGCCTCCGTTAAGAGGGTCCCCTCCATGTAAATATAAAGTATTTCAATGTAAAGGGTCTTTTCTGGGGTAAAGAAAACTACAATTCATACAATTTAGATGAAATGAACTAGTGAAAACTTCATGAGGATTATTCTACATTAAATTTCTGCCAATAGATCCTCTCACCTGAATCTTACGCACTGGAGCTTTAAAGGTTATAGAAACACAACAGCCCATAATATCATAATTGACCAGTGCATCAAGAAAATGTGTTTTTTTGTGTCTCACATTGATTCAGTGATCAGAAACTTGTTGTACAACTTACAGGAAACGTGTTATCCCACAGTGATAACCAGCCAGCAATTCACAAAAGAAAAGAAAAACATTCACAGCAAAACTCAAGAGTTAATGATCCGAAGAAAAACACTAAGACAAAAGTGAACGTCACGTCTCCTCTACATCGTTCTTCAACCAGAGCTAATTGATAAAAGGTCAAAATGTTTCAGCAGATTAGTGCAAAAAGACACAAAGACAAAGAGCTTCACTGCCAAACTTCTGTGTTCTACTGGTAAAGATGATAAGTCATGATCCCTGTTTTTACTAACAAATGGAGTCCCTCAGGGATATGTTCTGGAGCTTCTGACAATTTTCTTAAACCTGATACAGATTCAGAGGAAAAGTCCAACACTAAGCTCTTCAGTATTATTTTCTTTGACTAAACAAAAGTGCTTTTAAACTCAACACAACCACATTGAGTCACTGTCTCACAGCTTTGTTCCAGTTTGTCAGATTAAAGAAACGTCCACAGAAATCACTGTCCTATAAAAATGACATTACAGTTCTAATGTATATGAATACTTAAATCATGTGTTGATATTGCCCTTAAATAATCACAGATGTGACAACTTTGACTAAAAACACATGAATCAGTATGTAGAGCAAGTTTAAAAATATTCCCAAGTTCCCTAAAACCATTAAATCCCTTAAAACATATAAAAACCCAAAGGACAAGGCCTCAGTGGAATCTAAGGCCCCTGGCCCATGGTTCATGGTTCCTTTAGCACCTCCACTGTGAGACATCATTTTACTTCTTAAGGCCATTATAATTCAAATGAGCAGTGTGGTAGTCAAAGAACAGAACTTTGTTCTCATGGTCACCGGTGACAACAGAAACAGAACGGCTGCAAAAATACAACCATAAACCTCTAACTTACGGAGTCCCTCAGGGAAGCTTCATGGAGCCTCTGTTTCTGTAAAATCTGATACAGATTCAGGGAAACAGTTCAGGTTCGTTAATGTGAGTGAAATAGTTTTAAAGGAGACACGTTTATGTTTTTTCAGTTTCTTTCCTCCTGTTAGTTATAAAAAAATGTTTATTGTGAATGCAAACGTTCTGCAAATTCAAAAAGTCCAAAGTCTGGTGTGAAGGAAACATCTCGTCAGTAGCACTTAGGTTAAAGTAAAAGGACCTGACACTGTGTTCACTTGTTATGGGGTTTGCCAAACTAGCTAACTAGTATGACAAGGCCAGGCTAAGTGAGTTGACATTTCCCACACGTGCTGGAAGCTGTTGACCAATCACAACAGAGTGGAGCAGCCGACCAATCAGAGCAGACTAGGCTTTATCAGGAGGGGGGGTCTTAAAGAGAAAAGAGGAGCTGCAGTGATGGACAGTCTGAGGACAGAGACGTGTTTTCACCCCTGGAAAACAACAGGATGCATCTCAAGAGTTCATCCTAACGAACAAACTTTACCTCTTTTCAACCTGAATGTGAACAGAATGTGTCTCCTTTAAATAAAAGATGTCTCAGCTGTGCTTTCACAACATCGAGGATGTGAAGAGAAAACCACAGCATCAGGGGAACGTGTTCCACTTCCTGTGACATCATTACCCTGCTGATATTCTGACCTGAAGGTTGTTTAATGAATGTGTTCTTTGGATGAGAACACATCCGAATCCGTCTGATTTTAAAAAATCCACTAGTGAGTTATAAAAATAAGATGAGGCTGAAGCGAAAGAATATCAAGAAACAGTCTCAGGTCTCAATGTCATGAGGCTACAGATGAAACACGAGATTAAAACAGGAAGTATGAGCCCTGGAATCAGTGATGTTCTGGAAAATGTCTCACCACTGCTGTTTTATGTCTGTGTCACTTCACTGGACACTGTAAAAAAGCAAAGGTTGTAATGAGAACACAGTGTGTGAGTGTTTGTGGCCGTGTGAAGCTCAGAGTTTGTGTTTGAGTAAAAAAGATCAGATGAGGTCACTTCTTGCAATCTTTATCATATTTACACTAGAAAAATAGAGTTAGCAAAATAAAAGCACTCTGGTTATGTAGACTTGTGGAGGTCCCTTTAAGAAGACTTGATTGTTGTTGAACGACACTTGGTCCTGAAGAGACAGAGACACAGATCATATATATATATATATATATATAGATATTTATACACACACACACTCACACAGTATATACATATATCCACCACTGTATATGAAGCGATCAGAGACTGTGTTTACCTGGTTCACTTCCAGGTTGGTTTGTTCAGGACCTGAACACGTGGACTGCTCGGACGACATACTGGCGGCAGATTGGACACTCGCTCATCCTCTTGCCGCACTTGGTGCAGGTGATCATGTGACCACAATCCAGCAGGACGCAGTCAATGGTAGAGTCCATACAGATCTTACAGAGGTTCTCCTCCAGTCCTCCCCCAGACTCTAGAGGGAGACACAGGGACGAGTACGCAGCACTGTGAGGGACCATATCTTTATCACATGATCAATAAAAATAATTCAATGAACATATAACAGATGTACAAAGCACAGGGAGGCGCCAATAGTCTGATAGATTAACTGATTACTCTCTGGTTTGTAAATGATCAATAAATTGTGAAATAATCACAGGCTCATTGTGGTGAGTGTTAACGATGATCTTGTCCGTCACGTTTGTTTAGAGGAAACAGAAAACTGACCTGAGGCGTTCACTGCATTGGCAACTGAAAGACAGAAAACAGACAGTTTGGACTTTAACGATTAAAACGGACAGAAATGAATCAATGAAACTGTCTCAGAGTTTTATTTATTCTGGATCTGACACTAAAAATCAGACTGAAGTGAATCACAGAGGAACTCGTTCACTCCTGGTTTGTTTCAGAGCTTCAGACTCGTCAGTTCAGTCTGAAGCTGAACTTCAGGTGTGAACGGTTCCTCAGACCAGAGGAGAAGTTCTGGGTCTGGATCCAACTGAACCTGGTTCTGTTGGTTCAAACCATAGAAGAAGAAGAAGTAGAGGAAGCAGCTGCAGTCTGCACCCCCGACGATAAAATGTTTTTTTGAAATTTGAACTAGTCTGGTGTACTGTGGAGTACTGTAGTGTACTGTAGTACTGTAGTGTACTGTAGTACTGTAGTACTGTAGTGTACTGTAGTGTACTGTAGTACTGTGGAGTACTGTAGTGTACTGTAGTACTGTAGTACTGTGCCTGAAGGGGCTGATGCTGCTAGTGGCAACTACATAAAGCGCTTCAAACAGAAAGACTACTACCCCCCCCCCACCTGACAACACGCCCACGTTAGACTCTACAAACCAATCAGAGTCAAGTACAGGTAGACGACGCCCATGTAGGTGATGACAGGCCGTACGTGTGTCAGACAAAATACTTCGTCCCTAAATTACAAGAACAAACATGAAGCTTCAGACTCAAGAGAGAGAATTTGTGATTCAAATGTTTTGAAAGATTCTCAACAAAATGTCTGACTTCCTGCAAAAACATTGTTGATGCTCAGTGTCGGCTGCTCGTCTCTGAGGGACGAGGATTTAGTTCCGTTAAACTGAGTCCGACTCACTGAGGTTCTGCTGGTCCTGGTACAGTCGACTCACTCGCTCCATCAGCTCCCATTTTTCACAGCAGCCTTTATAGTCCACAAAGTTCCTGGCGAGAATTTCTTTCAGCTGCCGCACGCTGAGCGCCTCAATGTCGTCCTCGCAACTCAGGTCGGACAGAGACGCCCTACGACCTGAAACTGACGGCTCCTCAGGGTCCCAGAACCGGAGGAAAAGACAGAGTCAGTCACAACATCCGAACTCAAGATTCACACCTGGTCTGGTTCTA